TATAGAAAACTCTACAAAACGCCTATAGACAAAAATGAATAGTGATTTCACTTACCCTCATCACCATCCAAACTTCTTCGCACAACCACAGTTGTCAAGTAGTGTTTCAATTTTTATTTTTTTTCTTCAAATCAAAATTAATTGAAATTTGGAGCGTGTACATCTTAGTGAAGCGCACCTAATCAAAATATGAAAAATGTAATTCACAAAATATAAATTGACAAAATACCCTCGTAAATTTTCAAAGGTATTTTGGTCAATTTATATTTTACGAATTATTTTTTTCATATTTTTATTAGGTGCGTCTCACTAAGATGTACACACACTCTAAATTTCAGATCATTCCAGATTGATTCTGAACCGATCTGACGATGTTGAATGTTTGGTAGTGCTTGAGCCTTCACAAGGAAAAAAATATATATAAATATATATATATACATATATAGGAAAGGTCTTAAAAACGCTTATGAGCAAATTGCTATAGTGTTTCGCTTCCCATCATGGACATGCACGATTTTGCCTAAAAACTGTCACGGACCTACGGGAGCTGTTGGCGTTCCCCGCATATGTTTTGCGTCAATTTTGAGTGAAAAAAATCCTGTCACGAACATGCTATGTCCGTGACGGTATTTAATCCACGCTGTTCGAAAAAAATCCGTTCGAAAAAAATCCATGCCGTTTGAAAAAATCCATGCCATTTGAAAAAAAATCCATGTCATTTGAAAAAAAAAAATCCATGCCGTTCCAAACAAAAAAATTCATTCCATTCCAAAAAAAAAATCTATGCCGTTCAAAAAAAAAATATCCATGCCGATCGAAAACGGGGCATTGTGAAAAAGGGGGCCTATATATATATAGGGAAAAGTTTATATAGAGTTGAGGCTCTAAACAATCAAATTTGAGCCTACCACAAAAATTTCACTAGAAGAGGTTGTTTTGATGCCCAAATATCTTCAAATTGATAATCTCGACATCAAGATGCCTTCTGGACATGAGAAAAAAATGGATTGCAAGTTTTGGAAATAATGTATTCTGTAACACATTTTTAGACCGTCAATTTTCAAGATTTTCACGTTTTCATAGATATGTCGATTTACACTATATTTGAAGCTTTAAACTTTATAAATAAATATAAGAATATATTTTTAAGTTATCACAAAGATTTCCAATATTGAAACCACATTTCTAGACGCTATTTGAAAGTAGGATCTAATTTGATTATTTAGAGCTTAGGCTCTATACAAACCGCACCCGGAAAATAATACAAAATGCCAATAGTGAAGTTCTACAGTATTTCACCTACAACTTTATCACCATTCAAAGTTTATCACATAGTCACAGATGTCAGATAGTGTTTGAATTTTAATATTTTTTTTACAAATCATAATGATCTGAAATTTTGTAGTTGTGTGTGCCTCAGTGAGATGCACATGAATAAAATATAAAACAAATAATTTGAATGATAAAAATAATGCAAAATACCCCTATAAAGTTTCAAGGGTAATTGCATCATTTTATTTTATGACTATTATTTTTTTAATATTTTATTTTGGTGCGATTTGGTCAAATATACACACGCCCCAAATTTTAGATAAATCTGATTAGTACAATAATTATAAAAATTTAAATACTACCGGTCAACTATGATCGTGTGATGAGATGTAGGTGAAGTACTATAGAACTTCATCTATAGACGTTTTGTAAATGCTTTTATATATATATATATATATATATATATAGT